GCTAGGACTGGGTCTGGGGGCTCCCGGAACTTGGCCCATTTGTGGGTCTTTTGACCTGAAAGGAAGATCATTATGGTTCAGTTCTCTCTGAACAGTATGGTAACTGCTAGCTACTTGATCCGATGTGTGGGGAGTCCTAGACATCTGTGTTCAGTATCTAGCACAGTGCTAAGAAACTAAAAGTTACTTAAGAAATGGTAGGAAGGGTAACGACGGGTCTTGTTCTGGCAGCACTGATCTAACAAGAGTACACTCTCGCCCAGGAGACATGTCCTATCTGGAGAGATTACAGGACTCAGGAGCCTTGTCCCCAAACATTCCCTGGAGGTTTTCTGAATAGCCAGCCTCCAAAGCCTTTTTCCTGCTAACTGGAGATAGGTGCCTGCCATAGCCGTGTCCCTCAGTTTCCTGCTTCTCTTCTCTGAGATCTATGCACCTTTCTATCAGCTCCTGTACCAACCAATCCTACCTCACCCTCACACAATACCCAGCCTTGGATGCCTCTCAGCTGGAGGCTAATTTTTGTTTATTTCTGATAGTAAAAGTAATGTGGACTCATTTTTGAATACACGTTATAGACAGAAAAATATAAAAAAGAAAATCAGAGCCCCCTATTTTAAAGATTTCATAGTTAACATCTTGGTATATTTCCCTTTAGTGCTTTTTTCCCTAGGAATATACAAATCATATAATTCGGATCATTTTTTTAGAAGACTAAATTTCTTTATTGCTTAATGCTTCTTTGGCTAGCTTTTATATTTTATTTATTTATTTTTGCAGAACTGGGGATTAAACTCAGGCCCTTGTGCTTGCCAGGCAAGTGCTTATTCTACCGAGCCATCTTGCTGGCCCCTTATTTTTAGAGGATCATTATTTAGTCCTACAACTGACATTGTTTGGTCCTACTTTTCTGTTTTTCTCACCTGACATTATAATCATAACATGTTCCCATAATATCAGAATTTCTTTTTTTTTTTTTAATGTAGTTAGTACAGGGTCTTACTACACAGATCGGACTCATAGTGATCCTCCTGTTTTACAGCCTCCCAAGTGCTAGAATTAAAGGCATGCGCCACCATGCCCAGTCTCAGTCACCCTCTCAGTGCGCCCCAGGGGTGGGGCCAGCATGGGACCGAACCTGGACCCTGTGTCTGTCTAAGCAGGTGCTTTAGTACACTGAGCTGTCTGGTCAGCCCTAGAATTTCTTCAAAAACATGATGCTTAAAGCATGGATAATACTATATGTGGGTTTTTAAATTTTACACTATTCCTGTTATTGTTGTAAATTGTATCCTTTGCCTTTTGTAAGTAATTCTGCATTAAGAATATTTAGACATAATTATTTGTGAGCTTCTCTGATTATTTCTTTTAGGAAAATCTCAATTGGAATCCCTACAATGAAGGGTATAGATATTCCAAGCATTGTTAGCACATAGCAACAAATGTCCTTTGTGGAGTTTTTGTTGTTACTTTGTTTTTGGTTTTTGTACTGGTGATTGAACCCAAGACTTTTCTAGTGAGCTACATCTCTATTCCCATTTATTTATATTACTGGAGATTGAACTCAGGGCCTTTGCATTGAGCTATACCCTAGCACTTTACATGTTTTAAAAAAAATATTTTGAGACAGTCTCGCTAACTCTCTGAATTGTTAGCTGCACTTGAATTTGAGATCTTCCTGCTTCAGCCTCCCAGAGTTCTGAGTTACGGGTGTGGATCACCAAGGCTGGTTCATGCAGTTTTTAATGATGTTAATACATGCATACATTTTATGTAACCATGACCGTAATCAGAATATAGAATAATGCCATCACCCCAATAAATTCATTTCTGCTACTCCTTTGCTTTCACCCCCTCAGACCCTCTAGAGGATTAGGGAATATTTCATTCTGTAGTGTGGAGTTCTCAGCTAATTGTCCAAATTAAAATAACTTTCAAGTATTTTTAAGATGTTCCTGAATCAGGTTGCAGTAGCAGCCAAGACTGGTTTCGGAGATGGGTGGATCTAGTCAGGGTTCCTCTTAGAGTGGTACCTGAGTCTACTCCCATCAGGGGCTGTAAGACAGATAGTCATTCAACCACTGGGCTTTAGGGAACCAGAAACTAGGCTGGGGCAGCATTAGTGAACTTAGAAATATTTTATAGAGCTGACCCTCAGGCAGAAATCTAAATTGCAAGACTCAAGGACATGGGTGCCACAATGAACATACTCGTCCTAGTCAGAGGCAGCCTCTTGGTTTGATGGGACAAAAGATGAGGAGAAGGAGAAGCAGGCATCTGCCCATTTTAAACCAGAAGAGGCTAAGGGTATAAGTGGGTACTCCAGGCTCTGGGACAGGAGGATTTCACAAGGAGCCAGCTAGACATTGAATTCTGCTAAATAAGCAGGTTATCAGCAGAGTGTCCTAGTTCAAAGTGGCAATTTAAAGGACTGATTAGAAACCAAGCTGGCTACTCAGCGACTCAGAATACATTGGAAAGTAAGGTGCTTCCTGATATGACTCTAAGGCAGTGAATCTCAAACTGTAGCAAATGATAGAGTGCTTCCGAAACACAAATGGCTGGGCTCTACCACCTCAGTTTCTGAATCTGAAGGTTTGGCTTGGTGAGTGAGATTTCTAACAACTTTTGAGGACTGCTGCTGCCTCTTGAGGGGCTGCACTTTGGGAAAAACTGCTCTAAGGCAAAGAAAATATTGAGATTAGAATAAAAATCTCATTCTCATATCACTCAACATGGATGAAAAAGGGCTTTTTCTTTTTCAGTACCAGGGGTCAAACTTGGGACCTTGTACTTCCTAGGCTGGCACTTAAGCCACTGAGCTATCTCCCAGGCCTGGAAAAAGGCTTTTAAATGTAAGACAGGGCTTTGCTCTTCCACACTGATTGGCTCCAAAGAATTAACTAACCCTACACAGTTTGAGGCATTTTGTGCTTCCAGGAAAGCACACGGGAAAGGAAGGAAACAGTCCCTCTCCAGAGGACCAAAACATCAATAAATTGTCTCAGTAGAATTTTCTTGAGCATAGATAGTACTTGTTAATGTTTCAGGATGTATGGCTGTCAAACTATGCAATTCTCTGCTGTAGTTTTCTTTTTTTTTTTTTAAACTTATTTTAGAGCCAGCCCTCCTTGTTTATTTGAGAAAGGATTTTTTTCTTTGGTACTAAGGAGTGAACCTAGGGCCTTTGCACTGAGCTATAGTCCCGGATATATTGAGACAAGGCTTCCTAAATTGTACAAGCTAGACTCAAACTTGTGATCCTTCCGCCTCAACCCCCAGATTGCTAGGAATTAAAGCCCTTCACCATCATGTGGATCAGTACTGGGGTTTTTTTTTGGAGTGGGGACAAACTAGAGGGAGTTGGGTTTTTGGTTTTGTTTTATCTCATTGTTTGGACTACTGGTTCTCAAAATGTAACCAGACCTATAACATTAGTATTGTCTAGAAATTCATTAAAAATTCAAGTACCAAGCCCACCCAATACCTGCTGAATCTGGTCTGGGGTATGGCAGAGGGTTGACAATTTGTATTTCTACCAAGTTTTCTGATGATGCAGATGTTGGGGCTGCTGGTCCCAGGCCACACTTCAATAAAAACCACAGCTCTAGATAAAGATGAAAGTTTTGAAGTCCAGAAACTTGTCTTTTTTTTTTTTTTTTTTTTTGGTGTGGAACTGGGGATAGAACTCAGGCCCTTGCGCCTGCTAGGCAGTGCTTATTCTACTGAGCCATCTCCCCGGCCCCCAGAAACTTGTCTAAGAGGACTCCTGCCTACTTTGCTTTGCTGCTACACCTGCTGCATCCTTGCCCTGCCCTTATCCTTCAAATGCCAGCTCCATTATTTATGGAAGCCCTGTGTAATCACTCTAAGTTGAGGGGGCTGGGGAGTTGGCTCAATAGAATAAGTGCTTCCCCAGCAAGTACAAGGGCCTGAGTTCAATCCCAGGTTCCACACACACACAAAAAAAAATCACTCTCTCTCTCTCTCTCTTTTTTTTTTTTTTTTTTTTTTTGCGGAACCAGGGATTGAACTCAGATCCTTGCGTTTGCCAGTCAAATGCTTATCCTACTGAGCCATCTCCCTGGCCCCTAAAAAATCACTCTAAGTTGCAATTCCCTCATCTGTAAAATGGGGGATAATAATAAGATTCACTTCTTTGCATTCTTACAAAGATGAAACAAGATCTAACTAAAAATTTAGCACCATCCATGCTTAATACTAGTGATTATAGTTTTATTTCTACAAACTCCTTTTAAGTTTTTTACTTTGGGTGTATATTTTCAGAATGCTCCACTTCAGAAGTAGACGTTTGGGGCCAGCAGTGTGCTTATGAAATGGGAACAGGAAACAGGAACCACATAGTGAAAAGCAGGGGGAGACTGGCTGAAGGAGGAAGCAGTCGGAGAGGGCAGTGAGAGGTAGGAGGCTGTCAGTCAAAGACAAACTATCTCCTTCAAAGTTCCACCTAGGGCAGTCCCTGGGAGACTCCAGGGCTTCATTAGGCCCCAGGGGATATGCCCGCGTTCCTGTTGCAAGCAGCCCAGGGAGTGAAAATTCAGGTGCCCGCAGTGAAGTCCTTGAGAGGTACCTGGAGACCAGCTGGCAATTGGGTTTGGGTTCAAAAGTGGCTTTGTCTTTAGCGATACCCCTATTTGGCAAATATACTACAGTGCATCATACAGTCATACCAGGACACGGTCCTTTTTAGGGGAGGTCTGCTATGTGCTTTCTCAAGACATCCTGGTCCCCTCAGGAAGCGCTTTTATCTTATCTGGGTGGTGCAGCCCTGGTGCCTTGCCCAGAAGAGACCAAGACCTTTGCAACTGTATTAAATGGAAGAAACAAAAGCAGCAAGTTAAGGCCCCTTGAGTACGGCTGGCCAACCAATGGGGTCCGGCCGCTCCCCGGCGGAGTGGTACTATGATGACAGTAGCCAACCAGCGCGCTCCATGCAAATGAGGATACTGTATCCCGCACCAGCCGCTTCAGTGCCGCCCGGTTGTTATAGTGATAAACTGAGGCCTTGCCTCTTGGCTTCTCCGAGAAAGAAAGGGGCGGGGGAGTGGGGGTTAACCTCTTTGCTTCTCCCAGGCAAGACGGAAAGAAGGGAAAAAGAAGGGGGATGGGTAGAGAAGAGAAAAATACGTGACAAAGAAAACATTCTCTCCCTGGGAGGAGACTCCCAGAGGGTATAGACTGGAGGGAGCAGTCACTGGCCATGCCAGTACTTACCACTGATGCTGAGTCAGAAACAGGTATCCCAAAATCCCTTTCCAATGAGCCTCCCTCAGAAACCATGGAGGAAATAGAGCACACATGCCCACAGCCTCGACTGGTAAGTAAAGACAAAGGATGCAAATGTATGCGTGGCTATGGCACAAAAGAGTTCCTTATGCGCCCGCAGCCAGCAAGGAAAGGATGCTTAGAGGATTTTCATGTAAATGAGAATGGAGCTACCGCCTAATCCTCCTCAGCTGTTTACACTTAGCTTCTATACCGGGCGCTGCTCTCAGCTTACAAAGCATTATTGTATTGGCTGGATAGGAAACAGGCTGCTTGGGATATGCTGTGTGTTTGTGGTTTGGGAGGCGCGGATGGCCTGTTTCCTCTTAGGTGTGTTCTTGTCTGGAGGTAAAAATCCTACAGTGCAATTTTAAAATGGTTTTCTCTTTGCAAAGCTTACAAGCAGTCCCTCGTTAAGTTCAAAATTCTAGTTCAGGAATGATTCAGTCCTCAACTGATTTTGTGTGTGTCTGTGTGTGTCTAATGACACTTTTGGAGAAAATGAAAACGACACGGAAGTAAAACTTCCCCATTCCGTTGACATTTTCGAAATACATAAATAAATAAGTCCTTTGATGAGATATTTAGAAATAACGTGCATTTGAAATGAATTGTAAAAAATTCCGGAGTATGCTCTGAGGCTTTCCATTCAGGTAGTGGAAATCCGGGGAGGCTACAGTTATTTTATTTAGCACAGGAATCATGCTTTTAATAAGGAAAATGTGGACATGGGGCACTGGGCGCTTCCTTCCATCGCAGTAACCTGTATCCCAAATCTGATCAGTTTCTCTACTACTCCTTATAATCCCTTGCGTAGAGGTGCAAGTTTCTTCTCCACCACTTTGGCGTGTATTCTCAAAGAATCAAAAACATCAGCTGGATGGTAGGGTTTTCTGTGGCTCAAAGTCCCGTGGAACCTGGGGAGACCTATCTTTGAACCCCCTCCCAAATCCCCAGAGACACACTAGAGCTATCCTTTCTTAGTAATTTCTTCCAAGCTGAAAGGTGCACTATTTCTATTGGCTGTGGAGTTGTACCCTGGGAAGAGGCTTTGAAAAAAAGATTTTGTGATGTAGCATTTTGTGTGAACTCCCAAAATGAGGGTTTGCAGCTTTCAAAGCCAACTCGTCACGAAACTGTTATTTCTTAATAAGGGCCCCTAAGAGTTTAAAGTCAGGCTTAGAACTATTTCCTAAAAAGCAGAAAAACAAGGAAAGTTATATTAGACCCTTGTGGGCTTTTATTCACCAAGTTTCTGTTTTTTGAAATATGCTTTTATATAGTAGTTTCATGTTAGCTGCTTCACAGACCTTCACCAGTTACTGAATGAACTAGACAATGTAGCAATTATGTTTTTATGGGATATAAACTATCTCCAAAAGTGTGTTACTAAGGGAATCCTTTGGGTCACTTAACTCATGGTTTAGCATTGGAAAAAAATTGGGTGCTGAAAGTGTGTTGCAAGATCAGCCAGAATATATTTTTAAAGTAATCCCAGTTGTTCAAATGTGTATCATGTACATTTATGACAAATGTAAAGGGCAGGAGAAAGGCAGCATCCAGCTCTACTGATGTACCATTTTAACCTCTGTGTCGCCTTGTCTTTCCCTTGTCACCTTTTAGTTCTTCTGCTCCTTGTTGCTTCTGCCTGAGAGAGGTGGGCAGAGAAAGTCAAGGGAAGGAAGAAAGTCCAAGTTGCTTTCCTCTCACTTTGGACAGCTCAACCCAGGCGGCCCCTCACAAGAATCCTGCAAAGCTGGCAGCTTATACCCTCGCCTCCTGTCCGTTTTAGAAATAGACAATGACCTCCTCAGGGGTCACAATGCTTAGAAGGGGAAGAGGTAGGAATTGAATCCAAAGCAATATACCTCAAAAGTGGAAGAGCTGTCCCCTTACAACACACTTTCAGTGAAAGCTTTTTTTCCCTCTATTGGCCATTCTGTGTGTGTGTGTGTGTGTGTGTGTGTGTGTGTGTGTGTGTTGTTATACAGCAGCACAGGTATGATAGGGATGTACAGAAGTTGAGCCATTGAAGCAATTGCTTTGATCTACTTTGATTAAAATTTTTCCATGTTGTCCTGGGCTACTGAAATTGGCTCTGCTTAAATAGGAGCTTGCAGCCAATTTATAAAACACTATTCATTTTCTGAAATACTTTTTCTCTTATTAGCAGATTTTGATCACTGTGGGGTTAGTTGTACTCCAGATTTAGATTTACACATCATAGATCACCTTTCCATTGCTAATGATTGTACTTTAACAACTAAGGCACATGTTGACTGCTTCACAAAGTTTGTGGATTAAAGATTGTGAGTGGCACTGAAGATGTGAAATTAGCTTTCCTTTTTGTGGTGTAGTAGTTTCTGTTGACCTTACAGATTTTTCAGATCTTTGTATTTCAAATTCTATACATTCTGTGCGACTCCTACCACACAAACACATCACCCCTAATCATTTGTCAGTCACTAGCACTGCAGCCGTTAGCAGGTTATGGCTACCGAGTTACTTAAGTAACTTTGGAAAGTACATGAAGGATTTGAAAGGGACCTGCTTCAGCATGGAGGCGCCACCATTAGATTCCCCTTCCCAGGTTGTCAGAATCCTTCTCCCAGTTGTTGAAACAAAGAGGGAAGCTGTCAGCCTTGAACAAACAAAACAGGGTTCTACAGCATTTGATATTTCAAATCCCTGTAAGGAGCAAATTGATAATGACACAGACATGATTAAATCATATTTCAAGGGTAAGTTTTTCCAAGAGGAATACATGTAACTTTCCCAACTGCTCTATTCTTCATTGGAGGCGAACACAAGAAAAGGTTATACAGAATGCTACAACATTGCTCAAGAAATTAGAAAAGTAATACCAGAAAATTATTTGTTTTGTGATAGTGTCGACATGATAAGAATGTAACCTTATTACTCTTACCACCTTGGCATGGTGCTCTTGTTTGAGATGTTTTTGTGAACTCTTCCTTCCGTTGTTATAATGTGTATTCTTAACGCTTGACTGGTTTTCTGATCTTTAATATTTTCCTGCTTAAACATGATGTGAGGTGACTCATGAGCTTGACTGTCAAGAGGAGAGGCTGAGTAGCCTTGGGTGATATGATGCAACAGCTCTCCTTAGAGACCTACCTCCTAAGGGTTCTTGCCCACAAGAGGCGTCCTCGGAGCTACCCAGCCCTCTGATTGTGTTCAGACAAATTCTGTGGCCCCAACAGGTGCTCTGTAAGTCCTCTCTACCAAGGCCCAGCCACTGGTGAAAGCTGTGAGCTTCAGGATTTGGTTTAATGACCTTGGTCAAGTTCTTCCAGGGATGCATTCTGCTGTGAGAAGGAAGTTGTAATTCTAGCCTGCAATAGTTACTTCCATGAAGATGGATGTGCCACAGATCAACTGAGAAGGCCTAGGGGGGAAAAAAGGTTGGTTCAATATGTCACATTAGCAGGAGTTCATTTCAGGCTTTACTTCAAAGGGGAGCAGTGCCAGGAGACTGCTGTCTTGCCGAAGGTGCATTATGTCAGTTGTGATGTAGGATGCTCACCCACGGATACTCAGAAAGATGACTGGATCTCCAGACATTTCTTTCTTAGTGTCACCATCTCTTTAGCCACTTAGAGCAGCATGCATTTTCAAAGTGAGACATGCTTAATGTGCTGTATTGGGAAAATAAACAAACACAAGCTTCCCTGGGCATTTACTGTGGCGAGCTGGAACTCTGCCCAAGATTATTATTAGACATATTCCTGCTGAGCTCTCTCCGAATCCAACATCCATTTCATGCAGACTGATAAGTCAGGTGTACTGAGCATGGAATCAATGAACTAATTTCTCCCATTCTTTTAAGTTTGCTCTCTCACTGTCCCTCCAAGCCCCCAACTACCTAATGCTAAACTGCATATGAATGAAATAAACATAAGTCAAATATAAGATAGGCAGTTTCTTTGTTTTATTTTGGTGCTTGAATATCCAGAAATCAAAAGGGTGCATATGTCATCATTAAGAGAGCAAGGGGGGATTTAAAGTACTCAGTGATGCAGAACTTTAAAAGGCAACTGAGAGGAAGCTCAGGGGCCTGCAAAGCCCTACCAACAGGATCTGCAGGGTCCAGGTGGTTAACAATGACCAAACATAGCAATGAAGCAGGAGCTGTGCAGAGAAATGAAAGAAGCCAAACACGGCCCTTGCCCTTAAAGATCATTTCCATTTAATAGAAGGCAGAGATTTGGTGTGTGGAAGCATGCAAAGTTGTTGCAGTCCCTTAGGAGCCTTTCTGTAAGTTTGACTTTAACATAACAGACTTGCGTAAAGGCTGTATTTTATCTACTGAGGAACAATACTTGCCAGCAGGAGAGACTCTGTTAACCTGATCTCCAAGTTAAAACAAGTTCTTGTGTTTGAATAAAAGATTCCCCTTGCTGACCCCAAACATATTTTGGGACATAGACATAATGAGTGTGTTTTTGAGAGGCCCTCTAGCCCGCCTTGTGGGTGGTGTACTGCAGCCTCCAGATCAGTGCTGTGCTATGGAAACACGACTTGAGCCACATATATAGTTCTAAATTTTCTAGTAGCCAGTTTAAAAAGTTAAAAACTCCAAGCAAAACTAACTTTAATAATGTATCTTATTTAATGCACTATATCCCCAATATTATGTCAATGGGCAGTTAATACAAAAATTACTAGTGAGATATTTTGCATTAGTTTCATCATATTAAGTCTGAAATCCAGTGTATAATAATCACGTTTCTAATGTATCTCAATTCAGACGTGCCAATATCAAGCATCCAGTGGCCACGTGTGGCTTTAGAGCGAGCTTAGACATCTGCCTGGCCAGTCCTAATGCAAGATGAACTCTGAGTGCCCCACAATAATAGATATTTTTCATCTTATATGGTATGCACATGTGTATATGTCGTCATAATGAAAAGCAAACATCGTTTTACTTCATATGTCACACCTTTATATTTTATGCTACACTCTTCTGTCTCGGTGAGGAGGCTGTAGTAGGAATCTAGATGAGTTAAGAAATTTGAAGTTGTAGCAGGAAGT